GAAGCCTGAAGATCTGGTTGTACTCCCAGAACTGGCTTTGCCTCAGCATGGCCGTAATACTCGTTTGGCTCTCCAGGTGCTGGCCTCTGTGACACATGCTCAGGTGGCTTTTTTCAGAAGCACTTCTGGTTTGACTTCAGTCAGGTTTCCATCAAGGTAGGGTTAGGGCATGGCTGAAACTTGCCTGTGAGCCAGCACTTCTCACTCTCGAGTTTGTGGAAGGTGGTTTTCTGGGTGGGGGTGAGTGTGGTCGGTCTTGGGAGCAATGGAGAGGCTTGCTCCCTGTTGCTACCCTTTGCTGTGCAAAGGGCCTTGCTATTAGACTGGGGCAACATTACTTAAAATCCAAATTAAAATTAGCATAAATATTAGAACTTACTTTGCTTTACGGCTTCAGCAAAATGATGAAAGGAGCAAGCATTTCAGGGCTGAAATATGGAGCAGAAACTGCTTAATTCATAATGTTTATTGGAACAAGTAGGACAATGGAAGGTGAGTTTATCTAGCAACATAAAAGATATTTCAACATAAAACATAGCCTGCTTCTACTTTTGGTTTCTGGGATTTCCACCCCCACCAAGTTTGAAATGCACTCAGTTGCCTAATGATGCAGCAAAGAATCTTATTTTCGTTTCTGTTTCCTCCAAACTAGATCAAGTTCTGAGGTGAATCAGAAGAGCTAAAAGAATAGTTAAAAACCTTTTGGGCTTTATGGAAAAATAAGTTTAAGGGCTATTTATTATTCAGTTCAAGCAGAAATGTGCCTGTTTAAGGTGAAAGGTCAGGAAGAACTTACTTAATATAGAGTAAAATGAAATTAAACATGTGGATGAATAGGAGATCTGCATGAAAAATGCATGTGATTATAAATAGTTTTGTTAATGAGAACCGGATATACAGAGGTGATGGAAGGGTAGATTCATAAAACAACCGGTAAAGCCACAGCAGCATTTGAACGTAAACCAAAAAGAGATGGCCTCCCTGTCCCATCGGTATTTCTTCCATGGTGCTATTAGTCCTCCTTGGCTGTGCTGTGTGAAGCAAAAGGTTAGTGACGGGTACTCTGTTTCATACTTAACATGTATAAACACGGATGTTTGTTTAGTTGTCATTAACTGAGGATTTTGCTGTCTATAGCTGACAAGTTTTGTGGGGGAAGTTGTCTCTCATCGGTAGTGGCTGAATCAACAGATGCTGAAGTGCTTTCGTATTTTCTGCTCATCTGTGTTCTGGAAGGCTCTTGCAGTGGTAGTCTGTATTTTATGAATTTTCTTTCATTATTAATTTGCCTGAAGACTGTTAACATTGGCATAGAGCTTTATCATAGGTCTCTGAGGATTTGTGATCTGAATTCTGTTGTATTCTGCGAGCACTATTGTGCCATGTGAGACTTAACCAAGCCTATGAAGGTCTCATGATCTTGTTAATTATTTTTATAATTTGAAATTGTTAAACAGTGGAATCTAAAAAAGTAATTTAGAATTGGAACACTAATGTGTTCTTGGTCTTCACTTTAATTGCTTTTGCCTATGGAAATGGGTGAGTGTTTTTTTTAAAAACAAAAGGGATGTGGAAAGAGAAGATATGAACCAGAAGTAAAAATTAGCATTTAATTCCCCTATTCCTACTTATGATTTTAGGACAGTGGATAAACAAGTAGTTTTGAGAGGAAATGGAATCTCGCTCCCTGGAGAATGAAGCAGTAGAAAGTCTGCAAATTTTCTTAATGTTTAAGAATCGTGCATATTTTATTATGTTGCCAGATCAGAATTGGGAATATGGTAAATATAAAAGCTTTGTTTTTCTGTTATTAGCATCTGAATTTTCAGCATGCTCTTTCTTCACTGTTTGTCTGTATTAGCATTCTTCTTGATTGTGCACTCCTGCACCACTACCTGTGAAAATAGCAGGAGTGACAGTTCAGCCTGGTTACTGGTATAGTAGGCACTGCCACCTAAGTATAATCTGAGCAGGCTTGACACGATGATTAAAATTGCAGAATTGATTGGTTAAGTCTCCCAGAATCTGATGTTTTGTTCACTTGAAACCAACTAGAAATCCCAGGACTTCTGGCCTGGCTGTATGGTGGAGTTGGACTCCATGTTATCAGCCTTTCTGTTTGTGAAAAGCAGTTACCGGACTCGGGGAGTGACCTGAGTGAGTGTTGTCTGGCTGCAGGGAAACTGAGGCTGTAACTCAAGAGAAGAGTGAGAACCCCCTTTATTTCAGTAGATGTTAATGCTGAAGCCCCTTGGTGGCAGATTAAAGTCCCATCCATCAGTGAATCTGAACAAGCCTTGTGTTGAACTATTTCGCAATAGATGGAAGCACTCTTGAAAGAGGAAGGAATATCTTGCTGAGCTGATCTTCAAAGACCACATGAATAACACTTTATTGCTCAATAACTGGTTGTACTCCATGTTGTGTGGCTTAGAAATGGGAATAAAGCTTTTCTTTATTTTGTGTTTTTTTTTTTTAATGGCTAACTTTCGTCTTCCCAAAATACTTCACATAGCTGGGGAATGTGACTTCAGGATTGGGAAATGAGAGGATTTGACAGCTTAAAGTAGCCGTTAAAATGAGGAAAAGCAAATAGGCAGCACTATTTCCATTTTAAGCATTGTCAGTGTAACAAGCATGCAGCCGAGTCTCAGAAAGAATGCATGAATGTGAGGTTGTTTGGGCAGTGGTAAAAATACCAGGAGAGAATTAATGGAAACAGAAATGAAGTTAGAAACACACTTTGCCTTAGGGATGAAATTTTCAAAGCATTCTGGGTACTTGGATGTCTAATTCCTGTTCAAGTTGATGTCTAAAGTTCTTTCCTCTTCTGAGCTTTAATTTTTGTGTGCATGCTCAAGAATGTGTTAAGCTCTGAATAAATACGAAGAGACGCTGTTTGTTTCAAGCAGCTTGGAGCAGAGGCTCTGCTTTCCCACCCACGTGAAGTCAGGTGGGTCAGCTTGTGTGTTCGAACTCCTCCATCACTTGGGGAAGGCATGGAGTGTTTGTACTGGCACGTGTTGCTGCCATTGGGAAGCCAGTGGAATCTGATGAAGAGGAGTAAGTTACAGCTGCATGAGTAGCTTAATTACATGCACATCTTGGTTGTCAATCAAGAATCTTTTCTTTTTAATAAGCTGTTGATATCGCAATAAGTATGGGGACTTGAGAGAACGTGAGATTTGGCAAGTTGGAAGGCCAAAGGACATAGACAACAACGTGAAGGCTGTGGTGGGAGCCTGCTGTGATACATGACTCGTTGTTAGTGCAGTATTTTGCTCAAGGGTGTTCTTAGATGTAAACCAGTCTGTGAGTCAGAGGAAAGTAGTGGATGCTTCTAGAAAATGTTTTGGTGTTTCTTTTTCAGAGAAAACAGGTGCAAAGTGACCTTTTGTTTCCCCCTCTCACTGTGGTCTGGTGGGAGCATTCTCACTGAGCACTCTGTCATGCTTCTTGTCTTGTTTTCTTGCTTTTCTTGAAGAATGCTAAAGCATTGTGGAATTTATTGTTTTCTAATGTTATCCCTAACTGGAAGGGTGAGGAGGCTGCAAAAATGAACAGAGGAGAATATATATATTGAAATTGAAAGCTGAAACTGCAGCTCCTGGAGGTACCTGAGCCATCTGCCAGCTGATGACCGAACCTGCACAGCTGTAGTGGCACATTTTACCTGCTACACCTGCATCCAGCCCTGGTGGGGATGGTGCACTTCGTGCTGAAACCATGTTGTGCTCTCATGAGACTGCTCCTGGTTGTAGAGCCAAGTTCCTTCAGAGCCGAGACAGATAAATCCTCACAAGCTGCCCTCTTGCTTCTCTTTGTAAGGTAGATGCTTCCCCAGCCACCAGTTTCTTCCTGGTTTCAGTGCGACACTGGTACCTTTATTGATCTGTTTGAAAATCCTTCTTGAGTTTTACTATTTGAGTACAAGAAGCTTCTCATGCCCAGTGCTACAAGTGCTTAAGTTAACCAAAGTACTAACTAATTTGCTGATTACATTGCCCCCTTCATGAGATCTAATTTTTTGCTGGGATTAATTACTATGAAGATTACTTTTTTTGTAAGCTATAAAATGATTCTGGAGTTCAGTGAAACATAGAACTGGAGTTTGGGAATCTTTTGAAGAACTTTTCTAGCAGTCTGCTTCTGGGAAATCTTTTGTGGGAGGCAGTCTGTTATGGAGGAAGGTGAAAATCTCCTTGTTAAGGATACCAAAACTAGACCAATTTTGCTACATAATAGCTGAGGTTTTTTAGCACTTCAAATTCCATATGCTAATGCATTTTTGTAACAAATTTTGGAAATACTAAATCAATTTAAAAAAATATTTTCAATATTGATTGTTTGAAGGCATGATATTGTTGTTAACTACTCTCAAAAAAATCTCCTTTTTAGAAGTTCTGGTTTTGCGTTGATTTGCATGTATTCCCGAACTTTGGGATTCCATGAATTAAAGGTTATGCTTTACGATCGTACCATCAAAGCATTCTGTGTACTCTGTCATCCCTACATTCATTAGCTTTAACAGAGCCTCTGCCTACCTTCGGCTTGCTGAGCAGATCCATGAAGCAAGGAGGACTATCTGTGCTGGGTTCCTCTGGCTGCACTGCCTTTCCTTTGGAATCTTATGCTCAGCAAGTGATGGTGTTGCCAATTTTATGGACTTTTTTTCATCCTTGGGGAACTCAGAAAAGAGGACAGATAATGGAATACATGAGCCCAGTGTAACACGTTGGTTACTTAGTGAAATGGCGTTTGGACCAAAACTGTTCCGTGCTCAGAAAAGGACAGAAACTCTTCTCTTTAGCAAAGTCTGCAGGAAGGTGAATTTCAACTTACCTTGCTTCTTGATAGCGGAGGTCAGTGCTTGTGGCTTATCTGCTTGAGGTTCTTCTGGTTACAGCTCTGCTCACTTTATAAATAGAAAGTTAGCATCTTCACATGGTCGGTCTGTCGGATAGCTGCGCGGTGGTGTATTCGCCTGTGCACTGCACATCATGGAGTTTTCTTTTGCCAAACTTGACATAGTGAGACCACTGAAACAGTCCAGCAGATCCATCTGTGGGATAACGGACCAAACTCAGGTAGATATCTGGAGCTGATTTCAGTTTTTTATTCTTACTCTGACCTAAAGGATGCTCTGAGAATTGAATCAGGGTGGTGGTGGTAGTGGAAGAGGTTTGGACAAGCCACCACCAAGATTGCCTTTCCAGGTGAATCTGCCCTATCTTTCTGTGCAGTCAGCAGTCTGAATTATCTTGAAGGGCAGGAATTCCTTGAAAGGCATTCTTTCCTATGGGAAACTGTGACCTTTCCTCTTTGGATGGGGTTACAGTAGGATGCTAAGTTAGTTTGTTACTACTAGTATGGTGTATCTGATAAAGGTGGTTTAATTTGCTTACAGGGATTAGGGAGTGGGTTTCCCTCCCTGAGATTTCCCTTCTCAAAATTGGGATTGTGTGTGAACGCATGTAAACTTGTGAGTAATGGGCTGCCTCATGGGGTATTTATTTTATACGCATGTGTTTATGTTAAATAATGTAAATTGTGGAAGAGTAGAGTGTGGGATAGCTCTAGGACCTGTTTATCAGAAAACTTAGAAAAGCCATGTTTTCAGTACTTTCTTGACGCCAGCGTAATCTGAGAGATGTTGAGGTTGTACATTTGAAGCAGAGCAGAAGGTGCCTCGTCGTGCTGGCGTGGTGCTCCAGGCAGCACACTGTGTTCCTTCCTCATCTGAGCCCTCTGGGAGGAGGAGAGGTCCGTCATGTTACCGTGTCGTCTTTGTGTTCTCCACAGCTGTGAAACTGTCTGAAATAAGGATTTGTCTATATGCAAATATGTACTGGCTTACTCCACATCTTCCCTTTCTGCAGAATACATACATCCTCTTTCTGAGTGCATGATGTTACAGTGGTTTAAGGGTGACTTATATTGCTGGAAGTCAGGGTTTTATTCTGTGTGGTTTGAATCTTTTTGTTTTGGGGTGGTGGTGTGTTTTGTTTTGTGTTTTTTTTTTTTCTCCTCCAGTTGCCCCTGACCACTTTTTCTTAGTTCCTGGAGCATAAGGCTTAGAAGTTTTTTACTATTTTTGTAACTTTATACTATTGCACTTTTGCTGTTCTGCCCCCAGTGCCTCTTTAATTGACTAAAACTGACATAATTTAAGTTGAAGCCTAGTCTGGTTTGGCTGAATTGATTTAATAGTACCTTATGCTAAACCAGAGCAAATACGCAGGTACCCAAACCCTTTGTGTCCTGTTCCATGCACATTACCTGCTGTTTTAACTTGCTTCTCGCTACGGCTTTGCAAATTTCTTCCTCTAACATGGTTTCTATTTCTCCCCTTCAAAATACAGTTAAAACAGTTTTGTTAGCAAGTAGCAGCTTCTGTGTATATGGCTGGTTTTTGTTCAGTGCTGGAAGAATCTCTCCTAATACCGGTCTAATTTACTGTCAGAGCCAGATATGCTACAAAGCAGAAAGAGGTATTTGTTTAAAAGCAACATACTCATAAACAAGGCTTTGTAGTAGTTTTCGGTTATTTTTCTGCTCTGTGCATCTAAGGAAGTGGGCTTATATTGCTTTGATAACGCTCGATGATAACTCTGCAAGCTGAAAGTCACAAGACCAAATCTTTGGCAGGTAGGAAGCAGCATTGCTTCTGTCAGAAGCTTTAGTTGTGGCAGCTAAGTATCTGACCCAAATCTATTGCTGTGTACGGTTTCTTGGAAAATGTTGTAAAACTAACCTTTGTACTGCAGATGCATAAACTTATTCTCTATTTTCCATGTAAACCATAATGGAACCTAGTGCCAAGTAAGTCAGGCTGATATTAAAGACCTTGTTTACACTGTGTTTCTCTTGGGATAAGTATTCAGTGTATCACAGTTTAAAAAATATTTTTCAAGTATTGTAGAAACATTAACTTCTGAAATGCTGTGTGGAATGGATAATTATGGAATGTGAGTGTTGTTGAAGTAACCAAATTTTAAAAAATAAGGTAATTTTAGGTTAACCCTGCAGATAGTAGTAATCAGGCTTGGTAATTAATTTGGATTTAGAGTTACTTAATTTCTCTTGGCATTTGCAAATCCCAAACTGAATTGTGGAATGTTCTTGATTGAAGAAGATTTTATTGAAAACATGTGTGACTATTTTTTGAGGGCAACAATATTTGAAGAACAAAGAAAAATCTGTATATAAATGGAGATAGACAAGAAAATGTACTGCAAACATAGCTAATGTCATTGTTTTGTGGCATCATTGGTTAGCATGTCTTCTGTTTTAGAACAAAACAGGCTGTAGGGGAAATAAATTTTGTTCTGTAAAAAGATTAACTGTTCTAATGATATTTTAAATTCATATCACTGACAAACCTGGAGTCTCTATTTTTCAGATGAAAATCAGAATTAGTAATTAAGAGTACACCCCAAATTCATGGAACTTCTCTAAATTCTTCAGAGTAAAATAAAATACTGGCAAGAGTATCTATTTTTTAGCCTTTGTCTAAGTATGTCTTTATATGAGAAGATTGTATTCAGTAGAATTGCCAAGATTTCTGAAATGAAACTGATTCAGAAATGAGGAATGAAGAATTTTACTGAATTGGTCTCATGTTAAAAGACATATTTCCGTTGATTAAAAACCTGTGTTGCAACAAAAATATCTAACTGTGGTAATGGAAAATATTAATAACACTTTCTTTATGGTGATATGCACTTTGAAAATTATTTTTAGTTATCTCTAGGTTCAACGAGACTAAACTATTTTTTTTTTGATTCATTGCAGGACCAGTTTGACAACTTAGAAAAACACACGCAGTGGGGTATTGATGTTCTGGAAAAGTACATCAAGTTTGTAAAAGAAAGAACAGAGATTGAACTCAGCTATGCAAAGCAACTTAGGTAAGTTGGTATGTGTTGAACTCAGCTATGCATCTCTTCAGAGCCTGTAATCATCTTTAAGTTTACTGTTTCAGTGGTGGTAATTTGTTTGGTTTATAATAATGGCTTTTAGAAAATAGGTTTAATTTAGAGATTGGAAAGCTAAAGTTAATTTAAGATACTGTTTTATAATCTCTGCTAAAAATCATATGCTTTGCAAAAAGAAAGGTGGTTCAAGTGACTGAATGGCATACTAGGGCTTACTCACGATTTATGCATGATTAATAGCTCAGGCTTTGAGGATAGTATTGTAATGTTTTCCATGAAATGAGGACTGCTGCGCATAAATGCTGAAGGGTTTAAGAATTCAGCAGAATAATGATAATTTGTTGTAAGGCAAAGTTTAGGGTTTCTTTTCGTAAGACAGGCTCTTTTTGAATGCGTGTTGGAGAAACTGCAGGTCAGAAAGTCAGTCTCAGCCCTTGGAAATTTCATCTGTGTAGTTAGCCAGGTTGCAACCTGAGATTTGACTTTTGACAGTTGTATAATCTTGCCACCGTTCTTGCGATGTGTCTCCTGAACACAGCAGAGATCCCGTGAATTTATCTCCAGTAGCTAAATTACTGGAAATTCCTACTAGGTGCTTTCTACATGTCTGGTTTGACCATCAGGATGTAGGTAAATAGACAAGTGTATGTGAACCGGACCCAGAAAACATGTTCCTTGAGGTCAGATGCAGTGTAAACAGGGAAGGGGTACTGAGAACCCTTCCACAAGAAGTAGCTCTTACCCTGCTTTTCCCAGTAGGGTAGAGAAGAATGAGAGGTGAATGGGGGTTAGAGTACAACCCATGGGCAGTGCTGCTGCTGCAGAGAGAGAGGCTGTAGTGCAATGTTGTTGGCAGCCACTGATGGCCAGGGTGATAAACTAGAAGTGATGGAGCTAACTGGGAGGGAAGTCCAGGAGTAGTCCTTCCTAACCCCTCCAATAAATCCATACCTTTTTTTTTCTTTTGCATGACGGTAACATATATTAGAACTCCTTCCATCTTCGCAGTATTTATAGAGATTGAGATCTGAGGTTTTAGTTGATCTGTATCTATCTAAAGCACAGTGTCTGTTTAGGGAAAAAAAAAAAAATCACCCAGATTTTTTGATGCTTGTGTTAGAATGGATTTGAGATGCACAATAGCCTGTTATTTATGAGCTTTTAGTTGATAAAACACCTACCTTTATGGTTATGTGCTTTCTCAGGGGAATGCCACAAGGATTCCCCAGGGTTTCTGCTATAGACAAGCAGGAAATAGAAAATGAGTTGTGCAGGAACAAATTGCTCACATCCTATGGAGATGAGAAGAGATTGAATTACAGAGGCAAAATGAGCTGGAAGACAGAGTGTGACTGGACTGGGAAACCCCAGCGGAGTATCGGTGTGAGCAGGCCTGTCTTACGAAGAATCACACACTAGACTCACTGAATTTCTTAGGATGACAAATTTCAGGTGTAACGAGCATAATTATGAAAATAAACACATAAACAAAATGTTTAAAGAAAGCGGGACATAATTTTACCTGTGACTGTTTAGAAACTCTGAACTCCTGAGTTTTATTTCTTAGTCTGTCCTAGGCTTCCAAAACAAACTTCTTCCATTTGTTTCTTCTCTCTATATTTCAATTTCCGAAGCATAGCTGCATTTGTCATCCTGTCCTGTCCCCCCTTCCCCCAGTATGATTTGTGGAAAAATACATTCATCCCTGGGGAGCTCTTAAAGACAATGTTGTATGTAGCCATCTAAGAAGTTAGAGGTATAAAAGAAAAAACCAAAAATGTAGACCTCTAAAATGTTGAGATGAAACAGTGCTGGACATTTAAAAAAACCCAAAAAACCACCACCACCAAACCACTGCATCTGCTTTTAATAAGTCTCCACAAGCCTGGTGCAAACCTTTCTTGTATTGCATCCATTTGGTCTAAAAGGGCTGCAGCATGTTACTGCACGTCATAACATGCAGATGTACTATTAAAAAGGGACAAGTTAACACAAGATACTCCTGTGGATTTAACTCTTAAGTTTTATTTATAGTGTAAGTAAAGCTGCTGAACTTTATTTTCTTTTGTGCAACTTGTGTGTTCTGCTTGGTCTCTGGGCTCCCTAGCTAGCTATTCTTCCTGTCTGACTATCTGTATCTCAACCTGCTGTTGAATTGGCTTCTATTTTAAATTGTTTCTGTCCTTCCTCTTTATAATTCTGCAGATATATATATGTAATATTTTGTTTTAAAAATCTTAAGTTAGATATACATACTTGCAGGTTGCATCAAATTTATCTGGTTACACCAGTGGAAGAAACTCCCCAGTGTCCTATACCTTGCACAATGTCCTGCAGTAGTCAAGTCCTGGCTGTACCATTTACAATCAGTCCTGGTTTGAGAGTCCAGTTCACATTTGACATGATTGTTTTCTTAATTGTTTTACATTATGATTGTTGAGTCATTACACAAGGATGGGAAGGAAGGGATGGAGAAACTATGGTAGAGTGTTCACTTGTTCCTGTGTTTTGTTTTGAACTTCCATTGGACGTGGGCATGCTGGTGGTTGTGCTCTCTGTGCTGAAGCAGCGTTTTGTTGTCATCCTTCCCCAGTCACTACTTACAGCGTGCACGTACCTTACAGTCACTTACCTTCCAGCGTGCACACTCTGAATATCACGAGGTGTGTCAAAAGCCTTGCCTGATGTGATGATGGATAGATAGCATTGAGGAAGACGTATTGGGAAAAAGAATGCCTAAGATACCAGGATAATCTGCGAATCAGGAACCTCTGATGGATGATAAATGTGAGAGAAGGAGCAAGATGTCAAAGAAGTGGTAATAAGGGAGCAGAGAAACAAGCTGGAAAGGCAGAAAAAATGATGCAGGGTGAAAGGCAAATACAAGCATGAATCGGAGACAGGTGCACAGGCTAGCACAGAATCTTTCCAGAATTGCTATTCTGCTGCTGGTCTTTGTTCTTATGCATTAATTCCCTCTTTAATCACTGTTAGCTCTGAAGGTGCCATTGGTTCAGGAGCTTGAACATGGGAAGTGCTGGTGTTCTGATCATGACACTGCATGAGTGCATGCTGAACTTCAGCAATACTTCTGGATTCAGTATCACTTCTGGGGTTTTTTTGTGTGTATCCTGGTTGAAACCATATGTATGTTTTTGATTTTAAAAAAAAAGAGTAATAAATCTAGCTGAAATATATAGACTCTATAATTTATGTGGTTTTATAAAGGACGTATAAAATAGTAAAATGTTTAACCCAGATGCTAATCCTTGTTACATGCTTTCAGAATCTTGTTTTCCTGTGAGAGCATACTATCTGGATTTTTTTGCCCCAGCTCTGTAGCATTTGTACACCTTCAAAGATTCACAAGACGACAGTTGCTGTGTATGTTGGAATTAATTGGGCAGCATGACAGTGCAGGGAGATGTGGGTTTTGAGCGTGTGTGAAAATGCCTTATTAGTGTAGTCTTCTGTGCATATTTTCTTGTGGTTTTTCCTTTCCTCTTTAAGCAGGTGTGTGGAGGGAGGCATTCCCATGGCATACAAAGAGTGCTGTAAGACTTACTGTAACCATGCAGAACAGTTTGCCGAGTTCCTCCCATGCTGGTATTCTTTGGTTGAAGCTGCTGTGTGCAGAACTAGAAAAAAGTTCATTGTTTCAGAGCATGTGCTTTTCAGAGAAGGCAGACTGGAAAGGAGATGCTCATTTGGATCCCTTCCAGTAGGGATACTTAAATTTTGAGGAACACATTTGTCTGGGCAAATCTGCCAGGGTTTTGGCTACTGCTCTGTTTGGGCAGATGCTTCTTAATTCCTGAAGGAGAACAAAAGGAATAAGAAATGTGAGACGAGAGGCCCTGCTGTCTCCCAGTTAGCAGTAAAACCAGCGTGCAACAGGGAGTGGGTTACACCTCTGAAAAAATGGTTTCTTTTCAACTGAATGTGTTTTGGGAGCCCTCTAAAGAGTTTAGCACAGATACGTCAATGAAAGTTGGTAGTCCTTCGGACAACGATTCCATCAGTACCACTTGTACGTTATTCTTTACAAGCTTGTTTCAGTGAATATGTTAAGCTAAAACAAAGGGCTTCCATTTCACAGTAGGGTAACAGAGAGCGCAGGAAGGCACACAGTAACAGGGTTTAGTTTAGAATAGGGGGGATCCCAGTGCTGCAGCACTGAGAAGGTCTTACAATTACTGAGTAAGGTTTGTCAGCTCTCTGGTTTGCAGTGTTTGACGGATGCGTGGTGGTGTATTGTGTTGCAGTGCAATATGTATCGTAATACTGAGCTTTAAGTATGAGCAAGGTGCATCGAGTGTCAGGTGGACAGCGCACATTCATTAAACCCTTGATTTACTGCTGGCTAGGGGCTTGCAGTCAATGAAAGCTATACAATAACTGTCAGATATGCTAACAGGTATGTTCAGATTTCTTATTCAAGATACAATCATTTGAAGATCACATCAATATTTTAAAATTAAAACATTGGGTGGATGTGGGGTAATGAGAGATGCAATCATCTGTGCTAATTGGGATAATAAAATTTCACGTTTCTCCCAGCATCAGTTGATAATCATAAAATGATTGTTCTTTTATCATCTCAGCGCAGCTTCCCACAGCTTTATGAAGATTTTTCTTTTCCTTGGAAGCATCCTGCTAAAGGCAAGCAAATTTGCCTGGCCCTGAGTGTCATCTGCTGCAGCAAATCACACTTTAAGGGGCTGGCTGACCTTTATGTGTGGAGTAGCACCTGGGTGGCATTTCTAAAGCGTGCCTGTGTATCTAAGGACCTGTGTTTTTACTGTAAAAAGGTCTCTCCTTTAGATCAGGTGAAGGAGACTTGTGCATCAGCAGAACCAGAACTCAGGTATATTGACTTCAGGACCTTAATTTACAAACTTCTTGGGTTCAGGATCTGCTACTTTATTGCAGTTATAAAGACTGAAGCACTGTGTGGCTCATCCTTTGAGTGCTACTGCAACGCAATGAAAGCCTAATTACAGTCATACTTCTGAAAAGGTTTCTAGTCACTGCAAATAAAAACTGAAGCCCCACAGAATGTGTGCGCATGCAAAGATTATCCAGTTAATTTAAAGGAGATTTAAAATTTAATTTTATATATATATGTATTTTTAATTTTAGGAATCTTTCAAAGAAATACCAGCCCAAAAAGAACTCCAAAGAAGAGGAAGAATACAGGTATGTTCATGATCACTGCTGGGTGAGAATCCATTGATGGAAGAAGGGGAAAAGTTTGGGTTACCAACTAGGATTTGGCTTGTAAACCTAAGGTTTTAAAGTCAAGTATAAAGGTATAGAAATCATAGATGCAGAAATGGGCTTACATGGTAGATACTAAAGAGTGGATTTCCCAAGTTTGGATTTGGTATGTAACTACTCAATTCCCTTTGTATGTTAGGGTTTCTGGATGCCTGGTTTGTTTGTGTTCAATTGTTTTGGGTTTTTATGTACATTTAAAAACTGCAAGCCAGACTGTATGATCCTGGTTCTTTGAAGTGACTGACCAAACCCTTTACCACTTTCAGCATGATCTGAAACAGTTGTTAATTTTAGTGTGAAACTTAAGCAGTCTATATAAATATTAAATTACTCAAATGGACTGACAACTCAGATTAGTAACTTACTAAAGGGATAATGTTATAACACCACAGAGAAACCAGTGGTTCTTGAACAATAAGGTGAAGGATGTAATTTGTACTCCCAGTATCCTGGGATGGATCGACGTGTGACTTGCTGCTGTTGAAGGATGTTGCATGGCCTCAGCTGTCTCTGCTGTTGAGTCGCGTATTCAGACCCTATCTCCGTGGCGGCAGGGGACTAATGCAGTGCTCACAGATAGCGACTGCAGTGTCAAAGCCCAGCTCCTTCACTGAGTGACACTGCGGACATGGATACAGGTGATGATAGACCACATGTCCTTAAGAACATTCCTGCCCTTGATGAGAACTGTCTGGAGGAAGACCTTTCCAATAGACAGGCTATAAGCCACAGCGAGAACCTTTTTCCTTAGAGCACGCTGACTCCGAAGTTTCTCAACGTCAGCGTTTTGTAATGCATCAGCTTTGAATGAAGGCCTGGTGGAGTCTGACCCTGCAGCCTTTTATTGCAGGAGGTTGCTCTGCCTCTGGAGAGCCCAGCAGCAGGCTCAAACCCTTGACCTTGAAATTTGAAACATTTCAAATGAGTTTGGATATGGTCCAACTGTATGATTACATTAATCAGATTTTTGGGTCAGACCCCCAAGCTGCTGTATACAGCTACTGTAGTGGCTCATATTAACAGAGATAACAGCCTTTTCATTTTCTTTTTAATTTATTTTTAGTAACATTGTTTGGGATTCAGTTATTTATGCCATTGCTTCCCGAGATACTGATATTTACACAAGGAAGCTTACATTACCAGCACATCAACTGTTTTTGTCTGTACCCAGGATTAGGAATATATCTGCCTTTGGGTAGTTATACCATAAATGGGTATTTTGAGTTTACTACTACATTTTTTGATGCATCTTTCATTGCTGGAAAAGGATATTGGAGTTAAATGATTCATGTGATGTGGCACAGAAGATCCTGTGTATCCTTTGCCCTTTTAAACATAGTGTTCACCTCAGTATAGTTTCCTCATGTCTCTAAACAATATCTGGGGATTTGTCATGCGACCTTTGGCTGCCTCGGACACTGCTTTGAAACAGCCTGTCTTAAAATGATCTGTTTTCAAGCTTATTGTCAGTCTGTAGTTCTGTGGCTTTGATCCCCTGTCTTTTGCAACTGGAATTTCTCTTGAGGCACCACAGCTTGACTGTGAATGTGACTGCTTGTGCTGGACTATATTTTTAGTTCTTTTTCTGTTTTTTTCTCTGATGCCTTTTTCATCTCTGCTTGTATCACTGCCCTCTATTTCCTCTAAGTCCCTCCTTCTTTGCTTTGGTTTTTCACCTTTAGGTGGTGTTATCAATGCAGGCCGTTACCACTTAGTAGTAATCGTTTTTCTAGCATGTACAAGTGCAGTGCTTCAAAGTTGCTGTTTTCCAGCTGACCAACAGAGCCAGCTGGGGTATTTAAATGAAGCTCTGTTTGTGCTGTGCTGAATATGCTAGTGACATAATCTGCTGTTTTGAAATTGTGTGCACAGATGTTCGTTTCTTGCTGTTAATAATACATGGAATACTGTATAGGAGATTATTTTATATGAAAAACAAACCTTATGATAGAAGGTACTAAAAAATATGGGTTGACAATGAACATCTGGTTAGTAAACTCACTACATTTTTGAAAACTTTATAAACTATAGCTGATTTAAATCCAGTTTGCACTATGAAAAGTTTTCTGCACTATGCTAGCCAAGAAAGTTAGTTGCTTAGATGGGATTTTGCCAGGTAGGGTATACTGATGAGTCTGTGCACTGAATTGTAGGACTTGAAAGAGTATAACTAGAAATGTTTGGTGAAGATAGATTAGAATAGTGAAGTCCCAAGCACTCTAAAACTGTGGTATTTTAAAAACCAATGTCAAACGGTCTAAATCGACATAAATTTATCAGACAACTGTCAGTGTGTGAGGTAGGCTTCCTTCTGAGAAGTTCCTTCAAGTGAATCTCTGCTAATCCATGTTCAGTCTCACGTAGCAATACTAGGTGCTTAAGAAGGATGCAACCTCCCTTTGCAGTATGTCTTTCTGAAAAGAAAGGGACTAAAAGCTAAATGCATTTTTGTCCTCTGCAGGTACACATCAACTAAGGCCTTCCTAGCCACTTTAAATGAAATGAACGACTATGCCGGACAGCATGAGGTCATTTCAGAGAACATGACCTCTCTTATCACTGGAGAGTTAACACGCTATGTGCAGGAGCTGAAACAAGAGAGGAAATCGGTAACTGATCATTTTTTTTATTAGTCACAATTAATTGCTATTTAAGACACATAATTAGTGGTAGGGGAGTTCAATGTTAAGCAAAATTTATTTGTAGTTAATGAACACAAGCTTTGCTGGTGAACCAAACATTAAAAAAACTGGGTTATGTGCCCTGGCCAAGTCACTGAACCATTTGAATCAAATGTTATAAAATCAGACAGCAATGCCTTCAGGAGAATCCTTGCTAAATAAGGTCAGAGACCCATCTGTGCTTAAGGCTCAGTTAGCCAAAAGCTTGCTTAGGGAAGAGTCCAACAGCACTGTGTAAAGCCTGAAATAAACAGAGAAACTATATTACTGAGACTGATTGAAAGAATTATTAGAATATTGGTTCACATTTTCCTGCTTCTCAGCCAGATCTGGTCAACAGAACTTTCTGAAAAAATCATTCTAATGAGAAATATGGTGTCTGTCTTGTTTTGTGGTGGTGGGAAATCTGGTTTTCACCCTGTTATCCTTTAAGTCTAGTAGAATTAGGAGCTTTATGTTAGTACTCTATTTTAGCTAGTAGTTTAGGAACGTATGTGCCTGCTACAGTAAATGCTCAAAGCTGATTAATTTGCATGTCACTAGCTCTGAAAGGCATATAGTTGAGATGTGATTTTCTTCCTTGCCGTGAACCCTTTTATCCCTGGAATGAGTGGGCATGAAATAGTGATTCTAAGCATTATTGTTATAAATACTTGTAACATTGGTATAAAATGACTAAGCAAATTGCAACAAGGCAAGGGAGCATCAGAGTATACTATATTTCATTTCCAAACTGTTGGTCCGTTATGGAAAGTGCAAAAGTACTCTTGCTTAGTCCAGCAAAACTTACGCATTTATAAATAGTCCCACTAAATGTTAAGCATGTCTTGAAGTGCTGCGCAGGATCAGAGTCCTGGAAATTACCATCTTTTCCTAAGTACAGTATTAGGTTGGTAAGTCTGTCAACAGAGGAACAGAATGTATAGAGTACCTTGAATTTGCAGAATGGTGTTTAATCTTTCAGGGACATAATATTTTGGCAGCAACATGGAAGAATGTTTTTTCAGCACTTCTATGACCTTTCATTGAGTATGGACTCTGTACAATAAGCAAAGCAAAAAAAAGCAACATTCCATTATGCCATTTTTCTGTCACTTCTGAAGTTTTTACCTAATTTTTCAATTATATGGGTATATAAGGTGATTGGAATATCTATTAGACATTTTAAGTATGATGAAAGAGGACTTACTATCTTTCTTCTAAAGAATGTGAGCAGTAACTGTATTGCTTTTTTGTTTTGTTTGTAGACTTTTGTACTAAGTATGGCTCCTAAGTAATGGATGAGTGACAGGAAAAATATTTTAATATTGGTCAAGTGCTAACAGCGTGGGAACAGAAAAAAAGCAACTGACAGTGTATTTACCTGCTGTTGGTGATAATTCTTAGCCTTTAAGAGAAAACAGTTGTCAGTCATGGTTAAGCATTTTGTTCTTGTAATATGAATTATGAATCCTTCTGTGATTCCTGTAGATTTCTCTTTTATGAACAAATGTTATTGAAAAGGAAACTGCTTCTGCCTTCAGGCATTTTTCATACATGGCCTCTCTCACTTCATACTGTAAAACACAAATGCATCTATCACGCTGAGATCTGCAGGAGGGGAAGGTGGTAGTTGTGTAAATATCACAGAGGGCTAATGCTTTGGCAAAACCTTTTATGATAGAAATTCTTGAATGGCTCGGTGTTCTCAGAAATTGTGCTGCCAGAGTTCTCGTGCTCGCTGCTTGATATGTCATCAGCTGTTATAGTACAAGTTCATAGGATCAGTTAGGTTGGAAAAGACCCTTAAAATCATAGAGTCCAACCATGAACCTAACACTGTCCAGTCCACCAAGCTGCTATAAGCTGTCAGAAGAGATGATCACTTCTGGGGCTAGGGCCACAGATAGAAATTGGGACACCCCCATTCTTGTCTACAGAGACTGAATTAAGTCATTCAGTTGTCCAAATACCTGTAAAATGGTACAAATTTCCAGTGATTTCAGTATGTCTGAAATAGATAAGCACCTTTGCTCTTTTTGTTGTAATTTCCCACCTGGAAGATGGAAATGATACACAGAGGTGTCATAAGTGTAAATGTGTGAAAGATGAACTCAAGTACAGCAGAAAGTGGTCAGGCAAATATATCAGACTTAAGAACTCTATGCAATAGGAATTGTGCATTTAATAGTCATGGGGGATGAGGGTAGTGATCTTTAAAAACGTGGGGTCTGTTGCATGCCTGCATTACTCTGTTTTCAGGCTCATTTAGCTCTATTGATTAAAGTGTAATTACACCAGCAGATGATAGGGTTCACAGAATAATAAATCACACTTCTTTGTTTTTCCTCGACAAGTACAAGTCCGTAGCCTGTAAGCAGCGCAGAACCTGATAGTATATAAGGCCCTACATTGGTTTTATGCAGGATAAAATTCATTTGGCATGCCATTTTTACGTATGTTGAATTTGCTTGACTGCTGTGAAAGGTGTACTTGATGGCTGCCTATGTCATGTTTTTTCGTATGAGATAGCTGCTAATGGCGAAAGTAAGAGAAGCAGCAGCTAATCAAAAACAGGCAGGACAGTCTGGAGGTTGGACAAGAGGGATGATTTACAAATTCACAGTGGTTTGGTGCTGTTCAAAAGACAGAAACTTCCTCTTTCCTCTCACCTAGTTTGGAGCTTGGGTGAGTTCTGGGTTACCTTTAGTTTTACAGATCACATGCTTTGGTGCGTGATGGTTTTTGATGATCAGAAAGCAGTACGAAATATCAAGCAAAGACTCTTTTTGTGAAACTTTATCTTTAGCAACAAAGGTCAATCAGCGTGCCAGACTTTATTGCATTATGCATTCGTTTTCCATAGGATAGCCCTCGTTGATGTTATCGCTGTATCAAGTGAGTTGTTTTGCGCCCACAGTCCCTGAAGTTGGGCGTACACCCTGCCTGCTTTTCACACACACTGTGTGTGCGTCTGAGAGGGAGAATTCCTTATGCTGTTTCAGTTCTTCCCAGCGGCCCAGTGAAGTGAAACTCTTTATAGTACAGTTCCTCACTCAACTTCTTCTTGTATTTTCTTGATCTTAGTGTGTCCATGCTCTCATGTGAGTCATTTTTATCTTCAGCCAGGATCTTGCTAGCTGCTTCCAAGCTGAAATTTCAGTTGATGCTATATATGAAGGTCATGCCCAGTCGACCTTCCTTTTGACGTTATTGAGGCCAGATGCGTGTAACTGAATTCCCCTTCACTGTGCAAAGACCTCCACCACCAAGCCACACAAACAAGTTGGGGATTGCCTCTGAGAGTGATTCAGGGAGGGAGCTTGCTTCTGCGGTCATTCTTCGTGCCACCCCAGTTTCACCAAAACCTTACTGTGGTAACTGTGGAAGGTGTCAAGTTTGAGCTGGGGGCCCTGCAATATTAAAAAATTTGGTCTTAGTCTTGCTTGTCTGTGACTAAAGAAAAAGAGATGATCCCAGTAATGTCAAGTGGGGTGCTTGGACTTTACTTCACTAGCATTAGTAGGTAATACATTTCCTGGTTGGAAGTATACTCAAGAGTTGTTCTGCTCCCACCCATTGTGACTGTTAGTGGTTGTGACAGTAGCTCCTAAGCAGGCCAGTTATTCTCCATATGAGAGAGATCACCAACATTTTGATTGCTTAGGTGAGGCAATCTGCTTCTCCACATTGCTGCCCCTGTCAAGTTATTCAGCATGCTTTGTTCTATTAAAAAAAAAAAAAAAAAAAAATCTAGACACTTGGGTGTGGTTTTTTTTTTCCTACCCTTTTTTTGGGTGACACCTAAGAGGACTTCTGAGCAAACATGTAGCCAGCACCGCTCATGCGTTGAGAATTTCCTTTTTTTTTTTTTCCTTAAAGCTTCCCGGGAGATAGCTTGGTTTGGATATTCTCTCAACTATGGCTGAGGAAAACCCTCAGTTTGTCTGGATAGAAATTCAAGAATGAATTCCTAGGACAATTCTGATTTAGATCGGTAGTCACAAACTAGGTCTGACTCACGGTCTCCTCTGGCAGCAGCTGCTCTGTGTAGCCGTTGCTCCCGTCAGCTTTGCTAAAAATGTATTTGGGAGTCATGAACTATCCCTCTTATTACCGCTGCTGCTTTCACCTCTACCTCCACCTCCCCTCGGGGGTAGACTGGCTCCATACAATCAAGCATGAAAGTCAAGTACGAGCCAAGAGCTTTGCTGCAGACTCAACTGGTGCAGCGCTGGGATTCTGTGGTTGGGAGAGAATTTACCTGATGTCAATACCTTCCATTTTGTGTTGGGATAGAAGGGGAACGGGGAATGAATGCATCCTTATGGCTACTGTGAGGGCAAAAATGGCCTGGTTCTTTATGGTGGAGCGTGTGCGCCCTCCCTGTGTGTATTCATACAGGGGGTGTACATGTCAGAGAACTTTCTGTTTCTTGTAGACTCTCAGGTGTTGATGAAAAGTAAATAATTGGAGGAATTCTGCCATGTTCATTCATTCTGAATAGCGCCCTGTTCTGCAAATAGTCCTGTGGTTTTCAACAGGATTTCTCACGGCGTAACGCACTGTGCAAGCATGAGACAGGATGGCAGAATACGACCCTGTCAAGTGCACAATGGATTTTTCCGTGTTGCATTTTGGATGTGCCTCAAGGTCTCTGTGTGTTTGGAGCACAGCTGTGCTTTGTGCTGCAGAGGCACAGAGATGTTGCTGCCTTCCAGAAATGACAAACTAACAGCAAAGTGGGAAGTAGGAAGAGGAAAAGAGACAGGGAAAGGAAGTGATTTGCCAAACTTCAGACTTCAGGTTGATAAGATTCAAATTGAGCTTTCCCCAGCTCTTGTTCTGTGACTAACACACTTCCAGTTTACTGGCCCATGAATGGAGTTAGAAGTATTTAGTTTTGATCTAAGTATAAGGATATAAAAATGAAACATTAATAAATAGAG